AATGTATTTTTTTTCAGGAGATTAACGTTGATATTGCACGTGTTTCGCCTATCATTGAGACGTTGAAGTGAAATCACGACTTTCTGTCCATGTCTCCTATTTGAACTTGTTATGGTTGACATAAGCCTTCCCTAAACGTTTGCATAATGACCGTGAACTTCCTTGAAAGGCATTTAAGCTTTAAATGCAGGGAAATCGAATCTTAATACACCAGATTTGTACAAAAACAGGCGTCGCCATTCCCCAACTTGTTCAATTGTATAAGATATATATATATATATGGAGAGAGAGAGAGGGGGGGGAGAGAAAGAGAGGTGACCAGTCTTTCTATATGCGAGTGAAGCATTTTGGAAGACTGGTCATTTTCTTTTTGTTGCGCAACCCTTTCTGCGCTACAGTTTGCCTGTGTGTCAAGGCATTGTAAGTACCCACGGTCCCCAGCATGGTGACCTCGATTTAGTTGCTTGCGATCTCTGGCCCACTTTTATATTGTGTAGCTTAATGTCTTAATTTTCTCAAACTAGCCTAAATAATATATGTGATATTCTAGTAGTTATACTGTCCTTCGATGACAGCTTTTTATAAAGTATTCTAAGATCTATTCTTAATTTATGAATTTCTGTCGTCACAATATGGCTGAAATATTGCCGATGTAACGTAAACTTTTAACTCACTCACTCCCCTGTCAAGAGAAGGAAGAACTATGGTGTTCAACGGTTTCTTTTCCTCATCTTTCTTGACAAAACAAATTATGACGCAATATCAACTTATCAACGAATAAGATTGAAAGTAGATATGACTAGAGCAGAGAGGGCAGCGTATCTTTAAAAAGCAAGGTACAAAAACTGTAGTTGCAAGATAAATGCACTTAGGGGAACGCGTAGTTTAAATGAAAATAAACAGCAAACTCACGAACCTTTTTTGCAGCTTGACATATGATGATTCTGCTTTATAAAGATACATAGCGTTCACTAACATGAACGCTATGTATCACAGCTAGATTCTGCTTTGACATAAACATTTACGACTTGTACATACAAATAACTTAATATTTGACTGATTTTACTTGGGCAATGAAATCAGTTTTTTATGTGGAAGGACACGAGGCCTATTTCGATCAAATGAATATATTTCATGTCTATTATTTGAGTTGTCACTATCTACGATTTGAAGATATAGTGACATTGCACATTCAAGTATACATACGGCCAGCAAACGTGTTCTTTCTTTTTCTTTTTTCTCCAAACAACTTCTTGAAGGGTACAAAATGTACAGTAGATGGCACAAAATGAGGCTATTGAGACCTCCCAAAATAAGAAAAAAATCAATTTAACTTCATTTTGACGTCAGTTCGGGCATTCTGTATTCTAATGTTCACATTTCTTGCGATTGTCAAATCCCACCACAATCTTACGATTAACAGGAACATTCAGAGATACTACTTTCTTTAAAGTCGACAAAATAAACAACTTATAGAATCCTATTTGTAATTCAAATAACCCGTGGAAATTCTGGGTTAGAATAGATAATACTAGGTGTGTGATCGTGTTTTCAGGTGATGTCACTTAGTGGATTATGATACGGATTGATCCTATAATACAGGCATCTATTAACTCGACCTACCTCTTGTAAATGATCGAGACTGGACCAGACAATCCAGTGGACAACATCATGAGCATCGATCTGCGCAACTGGGAACCGATGACATGTGTCAACAAAGTCAGCGAGCCTGACCACCCGATCCCGTTAGTCGCCTCTTACGACAAGCATGGGTTACTGAAGATCAATATTCTAACCCGGACCTTCACGGATGACTTATATCTTGAATAGATAGGGCAGAATCACAACTGAACTGTGGATCACAAAGTGGAACATTCAAAGTATTCGATTACCCTAGATAAAAGAGTGCGGTGAAAACATTAGAAATATGTCTGATAGTAAGGCCGTGTCCATTACCATTCGGCAATAAATAATTCACCTTAAGTCTGACTGGATACGAAGACAACTCGCTTAGAAGAGACACGAATAAGATCATGTTCTTTTCCATCATTCAGTGTGTGCAGCAGAGTCTTTCAAACCATATTGATGCTACTTTCAGGGTTAAACACACACTCCTGAAATGTTCAGGACCAGTCCAAACACTGCAACATTGCACGGCTGTGAGAGTTTGCTTATAATAAACCATATCTGATGTTAGAACTGAAATATTCATTATGGAAGTGTAACAGTGCTACAGTCCAGACACATATTATGATCTATATGTAGATAATACATACATCTACACAGATGATACTTCGACATACATGATACTTCGACATACATGATACTTTCATCTACATAGATACAAATTTCTGCGTATATGATACTTTATTTTTCCATCTCTGAATGTATTAACTATATCCAACTAGGGTCGCAACTTCACAGGACTATATCATGTTTTGAGTAACGATACACATAATTATTATATCGTATATGGACATATGACAAGTATCATGTAAATAAATGAAAGTATCGTCTACGTAGATGAAGATGACTTCAACTGTCAACAGTCCCTTTTCGTTGACCGATTATTTCAGTAGATCCGTAGACTGTACGAGTGTGATAATTCAAAGATATTTGTGACAGTGAATACCCGCACCCATTTTCTTTTCTGCTTTCAATCAAGTCACCATGATTTCAGCTTGTCCGATAAGCCTGTTACAAGCCTATAACAGATTTCGAAGGACTCGACCTTTGAAGGATTTCTAGCAAATTCTACGATCTACACCCAATTATGGCATCTGTATTTCTCAGTTTCACGGAAAGACACGTTTTGTTTACAAGTCCGCTGTCCAATCAAGGCTTCATCGTCAAAGACCTGGTCAAATCATTCCAGACATTATATGGTTGACATATGCCACGACGTATGTTAACATGATGCACGATGCTGTACTGACTTGCTGTGACCTTTACATGGAGTATCCACATCTCTTTACTCTCTGGAACTTGCCGTGCTGGGTTCTACACGTAGTCGAAGAAGCACTGACCCATTTAGCAAACATCAAGTATCATAGTCCATTTTCGTAAGGTATTCAAGACGTTTGACATTGTAACTCTCACTGTTTTCATTCACAATTCTCACCAAATACTGCATTTCATTATATAGAATACGTATGTCAAAAATATTGTGGTGGTAAAATGTCTGTCTATGTCCGTATCAATGTTATTGTCCTCACATGCTGATTTCATGTGGGACCAAAACATAAAATGGAACAAAAGACACTCTGAGGGATTGAAGTTTTACTCTTAAGAAAAGCAAGATTTATAGGTGTCCACTTCTTAATTGTGAAACACCTGATGGAGGAGCAAGCATACACTCCGAAACGTCTTGTTATTCACGATGAAGAAGTTGGCATCCATAAATCTTGCTTTTCCTATGTATTCAACTAAATGCCCTTCAAAGAGTTTTACTCTTGTTATGACAAACAACGTGGTAGCTATATGTTGCAGGTTCACTAATTTGGGCTGTTTCCATATGGACCATACAGATTGCTTAGTAGTATGAATTATAGTATAAATGGGATCGTACGACTTTTTATGTTGATAGTATTCACTTGTAAGACATCAAACTCGCCATGAAAATTGTGAAAATGGCATAAAATAATTATCACTCGCTCGCTTGTAAATTTTCAGTAAAATGACTAAAAACATTTAGAGGCTTGAAGAAAACACAATCTCCCAACTCGGCTAATAAACATCTGATATATGTGTGTCTCCCTCCGTGCCGTTTCCAATGGCACCCAGGCTACTGTAAAGACAGAACTGCTGATTATCGCAAAGTATGTATGGCACATGCCAAAGAACATCAGTGTTGACCTTATAACGATGCTCATTTGATTCCAAGCAGCAGTGATGAGAAGTCCTGTGAATGATTCCCGGCCTCTACAATTCTACAAATCCGGCTTCCAGCATTCATCCAGGACTTCTCTCCTATTTCACACCGGAAATTGGTGTTCGCTACGATGACTTTTTACACCAGGGTCGTCAACGGCATGTGGACTTTGCAAGGTGATTAACAGTGGAAATAGACTGGTATTACGCCAATCCAAGGCTTGTTGATGTTTTCGATTCTCCTGGCTCAATGTTTTGTCATTTCTCGGTTCACCTAGCCACTGATCACATTAAGGCAGTGGAAGGTGGTCAAGGGAATGAATCTGGCTACAGATCGGATCGGTGGTTTATTGATGCAGACAAATATGCAACTGATGCTAATAGTACCATTTATAACCTATTTCATAATGGACTGTTTTTATGACTCGTATAAACGTTTTCACACCATGGTGCATCCAATGTTAGATGTTTCGAGATACATGCCTTCACTCGAAAGTAGATTGATGGCATTTCGTGTTATTTTCGCCATTCTTTGTGAAATATATATGTTGGTATGGTATTTTAAGGGACAGATATCCCCGCGCCCTTCAGTCCCTTTCTCGCAGGCCTTAATAAAGAGTCACTGAGTTTCAATATTACACTGTTTCTATTAAATGGAAAATGTGCCAAGATATATAGGCCTACACTGTCAAATAGCTGTCTAATGACATTCTTCAACCTGCACACTACACCCAAGCCACCATGTCAAGACTAACACAACACATACAGAGTTGTCATGTTATTTGGTAAAGATGTAATAGGACCCCATCCTTAATAAACAAGACCAATGGCTTTTTTGTTTCAGTTAACACTATTTGTTATTTCATATGTATGTTGTATGTTGATTTAAGGAGTCAGTAATGTTCCCGGTCTGTAAATATTTGAAACTTGATCAGACAAACAAACTTTCTTTGGGCGTCAGTGCTCTGTCAACACTATGCATCGTACGGGTCTCTGATGATCCTGGTATTTTATGAGTTATCATGGACAACACTCTCTAGCAAATACGCCACTGGGTATATTTATTAATTAACACTGTTTCTTTGTTTGTTTGTTTGTTTGTTTGTTTGCTTGTTGATTCTTACGCATCAGTGAGTAATGTTCTCAGTCTGTAAATGTTCGAACCAGGGCCACACTTAACTTTGACGACAGTCAATACTCTGTTTCATCGAACGAGTCTGTAATGACGTTAGTGTAGTTGTCTACGGACACGGCCGGACAGAAGGTATAAGGTTCTGAGAACCTACGGTCGTAGCACCGCCATCTTCAACCATAGTGATGAAGTATCATCCAAGGGCGGAAACGTTAATCAAATGTAATGAGAGTTGTCTGAGCAAAAGAGTAGGTCGGCCAACGTTAGGCAAACACTCATAGCAGAAAGACACCGGACACCGTCTGATTAGGCACAACGGGCGAGAAGTAACAAAGCATGTCTTATCGACTTGTGTAACTGAGAGAAAAAAATATAGGCTCTGGTACACGAGCAGGATAGATGTTACCATACTAGATGACTGGGACTAGGTCAATGTTTTCATCTTGTATTAGGTACATTTCTTTCTATATTGCTAACTTGAAGCGAGCCGTGATTAATCACTGCCAGGCATCGTGACAAAGAAATATGGTCAAATCACTCTGGAGGAACCATAAAAGAATTTTGTCGGACCATTGTATTTTTAGGAAACAAAACTGGATTTTTTCACACCTTTTTTGCTGAAGCGCTTTAAAGGGTAAATAATGCTATTCATAAATCATAACACGGGTATACTGTGGGCGTACTTATTCGCCTTACTGGATCATGTAACTGACGTTATATAAATCGACATGTGGAAATGTCGCGAACAAACAACTGAAGGTACTGCAAGTGTTAGAAATGTCACTCACACAACACATTCTTTCCTTTTTTCATACCTGAATTATACGTTGACATATCGAGGAGCAGAAAATACATTCATCGATATATGTTGTCTTCATCAGTAAGAAGATCATTTACTTTTTGAGGGGAACATTTCACAATATTGTTTATGATTACAATAACAAGTTATCTATGTTGAGTTATAATAGGTTAACGTCAGAGCTCATCAGCCACTATATTGCACAAGAGAGACCGTTCAGACTGTAACCTTTATAAAATTACCCAAATACCAACTCACTCGATTTAACCACCCTTGCAATGTTTCTCATTTATTAGCAAACATGAGGGTTTCTAAAAATTCAACACAAAGCCTAAGTGGTAGGGCGTGAGTTTCTTGGAACAGGCCCAACATGAACACATTTCAATTTAACTTAATTATATCAGCAATGTGCCTTTGAAAGCATGATGTTCTAAGTTAAAGCAATACAACGAATCACAGTAGAATGATTTTGGTTTTGCTTTTTGGGTTTGTTTTTGTGGTTTGTTTTTTTTGTTTTTTTTGTTTTTTTGATTTTTTTTTTTGGGGTGTTTTGTGTTGTTGTTGTTTTTTTGGGGAGGGAGAGACAACGACGAGTGAGTGAGTCTGGTGTGCTAACGTTAAAATTGAGAATAAAACATGCCTGCGTTTTTATGAGCCTTCGAGCCTTCAAGCCTTCAAGCCTTCATTTAGGGGGAAAATAGGATTAAACTAGGTATTGTTTAAATTCCATAAAAACCTTTTTTGCAAAAACATACTTTTCAGGAAACTTCAGGAAACAGACGTAAAATATCTCACACGACAGATTTGATTTCACATCATTCATCAGAATTCTTAGTAAGATTGTGTTAACAGCCGTTCAGCGGAAGGTAATAACATTACCATACTTGTCTTGCGTCGAAAATTCTGCAGATATTGTAACGTCCCCGTATTTGAGATATATTAAGAAAAATAGGATGACGTCACTGTCGTAAATAAATAACATAATATATTCAAAACTAGTAAATCAACACCTGAGTCAACCAGAGACAATATTACAGGAACGTACATGGAACTAACTAGAACATCAACACCGGGATATGAATTTTTCACCATTTCAACTCAAGAAACATTTTGTTAGAACATTGTACTTGTTATTACCAAGCCTGGCGTTCGACATAAAAGGCCACACAAGTAAAATGTCCCTGAATGGAATGGTATTAACAGTAAGCTGGCACTATAAACCTGGCATATATCCGGATTATTACAAGCAGACACAACCTGTGAAGATCCGGGTTAGAATTGATCTTCAGTAACACATGCTCGTCGTAAGAAGCGACAAACGGGATCGGGTGGTCAGACTCGCTGACTTGGTTGACACATGTCATCTTATCCCAGTTGCGTAGATCGATGCTCATGATGTTGATCACTGGATTGTCTGGTCCAGAGTCGATTATTTACAGACCGCTGCCATATAGCTGGAATATTGTTGAGTGCGGCCTAAAACTAAATTCATTCACACCCACAATCATGTGTAGACACAAAGACACGATGTCCGACAGTAGTACATACCTACGATTGCACCGCTTTGCAAAACGATGTTGTGGAAAAACAATCGCTACCAGCTCGTTACCACGTTCCATTCCGGGACAAACAGAGTGTCTTTCGAGGATACGAAAGAAGCGAGCAGTGATGAATGGCTGAAAAAACAACTGGTGATAGGTGGAAGAGTTTTTAGTGTGATCACGTATAAGTGATCTATTAGATCGGATTGAACAATTTACAGCCTATATACTCGCCCTCGTCTTGTCTCCGATCTACGTTAGTGTTCTGGATCTTTTCTCATGCTCCTGTCAAACAAATGACTTGTGTGAGAAGAAGAAAAACCCTTCGAAAGACAAAACGTCACGCCTCAATTTCGATTTGATGTGCATCTACATTTCAGCTGCTTGAGCAACCGTCTCTTTACTGAACCAATTTATCACCTAGATTAAAGGGGTGTCAGATATTCAGACAGCCAGTTACTGAAGTGCTTACCAAGCAGTTTGACTGGGATGTTGACCACAATATGTGAACATGCAAGGACAGAAATAGGCAAAGAAAATTGACAATCTAGTTCGGGGAGATGCATTGATCACATAGGGTCACATGCAGTGTCACGGATCAAGCGGTCTATAATGATGGTCGAATGAGTGAAAATAACAGCATTTCCCAGTCATGTATTTAAATAAAAATTCATGACGTGACTCACAGTAATACGAAGACTATGACAGTAGGGGGGTTCCCGTTTTGCCGGACGCTTTTGTTATAGATAAAAATTCACTGATGCGCGATAATCCTTTAAACAATAGGGTATTAACTTATAGTCTGTTTCGGCCTAAGAAAGTACACACTGTAGCTTCATCTCGATATTTCATATTTCACCAATTCAACATTTTGGGTACATTTTATCTTCATGATAAAATTCATAAATACATATTTCGTACATTTTCAGAAAACAAAAAAATGGTAACTGAAGACATAAATAAATATGCATAACTATTTTCTGAACTGAATTTGATCTTGGTGGTGGTTGTGTGTGTTCCTGGAACTGCTGAGAACATCACTGACGGTGTTGGCCGTTGAAGGACAACCTGTCTTACAACATTTCAAATGAACTCGGTCCCCTTTTGTGCTCTTAACCCTAAACTTGTGACCTAGATAGATTAAGTGTCTACCTCCCCTTGAATTTCGAATGTTAACTTGAGCGTTTGCCATTTTGCAATGAGCGAACCATGTCTACATTCTTTATATACAGGCAAAACCTTAGAAATAATCATTGGAATAAGCTTCACTCAATTCAGCTAATATAATTCGATTTAACTAAAATCAGTTACTAGAAATCGAGTTCACTCAAAACAAATTAATGATTTCGAACTCAGTCTGCCAAAGGCTCATGTCCCCCAAATGACTATGGGTGACAACTAATCACTGAAAACAGACTATAGCCGGCAAACTAGCGGACCGTTACTTTTAATTCGTTACCATCACATCAGCTGTCCGGCAAAGTGGGGTATGACCCACAGTAGAACACTAGAGTCGTTGAGGATGTTTTATATGAGTGAAATAGTAACATATGTTATATTTGCTGTTGCAGAGTCACACTTTTACATTATATTTGTGTAAATACGGTATTGCCTTCGGACAGTTTGGTTGTGGTATTTTTTATTAGATTATATATGGTATTTATCTCTAGATTGATTGCCCCAAGTTGGACCTGAGCTGGCTAGTTCTATTGTTTTATTGTGGGAGTGCAGGGTGCATTCGTATCCCTGATTGCAGAAAATCACATTGTGGGCTTTCAGGAGACTAAAACTGATTTTCTTGATGAGATTGATATTGAAAACTTAACAGTTTACCTTAAGCATCGACAAAAGGCATTAAGAACATCTGGTGGATTAGGGTTTCAGTTAGAAATAATCTTAAGGATTATATATCTGTTGTAGAAGATGACAATGAGTATGTGCTATGGATCAGAGTATGTAAGTCACTTGTAAATATTAATCAAGACTTGTACTTTGGTTGCGTATATATACCCCCAGAGGGTTCGAGATATGTGCATCATGATGTATTTACAGAACTTGAGACATCAATCCTTAATCTTGCTTCAGTAAGCGATTACATTATTGTGTTTGGAGATTTTAACGCAAGGACTAGAAATTTGAGTGATTGTAGTGCATTTGATGAACACATTATAGATGAATTTGGACTAGACTTAAATGAACTGAATATTGAACTTAAGCCACAATTGGTTCTAGACGAACTGAACCTACCTCATGAGAGATCAACAAAGGATATAGATAGGACAAATAATTTTGGAGTCAAACTTATCGACATGTGTAAACATCTTAATTTACTAATATGTAATGGTCGTTTGGGAAAAGATCATAAGGTTGGTAAAGGCAACCTGTAAAGACAGATCTGTGGTTGATTATGTTATAACTACTCCCCTCTGTCTATCACATTTTACAAAATTTGAAATCTTAGATTACTCACCCCCTATTTTCTGATGTGCATTGCCCCGTAAAGTTCTCATTCAAGGCCACAATTCCCCAGACAGATATGCAAACACATCCAAAAGGTAATCCAGATATATATATATATATTCTTTTATTTCCTCAAAAGAGAGTACAAGGACATGGCGAAAGATTATTTACATAGATTTTACAGTTAGATTTGGATGTTTTAAGCACTTTGCGCTACAGAAAATAGAGGTGAAGATAGAAAAGTCTTTTATGACACTCCTGGCGTATAGTCCTCTATATAGTGGGAACCAGTATGAAAATTCGTTGTTGGCTGCAACACAACTTGTCATGGATTTATACATACTGTCAATGGCTATCCATATAGCGTTGTGTATGCCCAGAGTGTACAGTTTATGGAAAGACCTGCATGCCATACGGTGTCAAATGCTTTAGAGCTGTCGAGGAAGCAGACGTGAACATTATCTGATCTCTCAAGGTAGTGGTGAACAGTTTCTTGAATGATAAAGGATGTATGACACGAAGACATTCCTTTCTGGAACCCATACTGTTGGTTTGACGGGAACGATGTGGAATCTGCAAATTCCGGAACCTTCTTACTAAGGACAGACTCAAAACAACTTGAATATTACAGGAAGCAGCGTGACACCCCGGTAGGAGTCTGGTTGGAGTTTCGACTTCTGGCCGCCTTTATATATATGGGAATGATGAGACCCTTGGACCACTCTCTTGAATGTATCCGGACATCAGGATGGCGTTGAACAGCTCGGCTAAGGCTACATACAGGTAAGATCCACCGTATTTCCTAGATGTTCATGACTTATACCATCTATTCCTGCTGCTTTATTGCTCTTGAGGCTTTTACATAATGAGGTGATTTCTTTTGGAGATGTGGCTATGCTACTTATGTCAGACTCTAGCGAGCGAAGTTTGTTTCTCAGTTGCTCTATTTCTGATTCTATGTCCCTCTTAAATTTGTCATCAAAATGTTTCTCTCCTTGGTCCTTATACACACTCTTCAGATGATCTGCCATTGCATTGCAAATAGAGTGCGGATCATATATCCTTTCACCATCTACATCAAGGCATGGAATTTGTTGTTGTTTCTTTCCTTGGCACAAGAAGGACCAGAAACGTTTCTGGTCTATATTACCTGCGTCATCTATGTCTTTGAAGTATTCTGATTCATAGCGTGAAGCCTCTTTTCTCAGACTTTGTCTAAAGACGTCCTTTGCAGCCTTGTAGAGCTTGAATGTGCTATGTTCAAATCCCCTCGGTCTGCCCGCATCCAGCCATTCAAGCCTCCTTCTCGTCATAAGTTTGTGATTATCTTTGACGGCATCCTTCCAGAAGGGCTTGAGATACCTCGGAATTGTTTCTTGGAGATGCACAGTTCACTTGCTTTTGAGCAGAGAATCTATGATAGTTTGGTACAACCATTCTATTTCTTGATCACAAGGTTTGATCATTAAGTTCATAGGCCACAGGGTGTTGGATACTGCATAAGTATAGTCTAGTATGGCGCCATTTTCCACTGTGATTATTCCAAGCATACCTTTTATAGATATGCTTCCCTTCTGTCTCCTGTAGAATGCAGATTAAGCTTGAGAGAGCAAGAGATTGGATTGTGATCTGACACATTTAGTGGGTTATCATCTCTGACTTTAGCGTTGGTTATAAGGTTGCACAGTTCTTCAGGTACTAAAATATGGTCAAGTGCCGCCATTGGTCCTCCATGATATACCATGTAAATACCGGACCACTGCAGTTGGATTCCATATTCACTGAGTTTAACCCCCCACAGTTACTGAGAAGACTATCTCTGTTTTTGAGGGTTGGTGAGTATCTTTGTCCAACGATAGCTCCGTTAAAATCTCCCACCATTATTACATCTCCCTTTAGTGAATAGGCGTTGTAAATAGTCCTGATCATGGTGACGTTTTCATAGAATAGGTCATTAGATCTGTTTGACGGAGGTAAATATACAGAGAATATGAAGAGAGTGCGATATCTAAGCGTTGCAACTTCAATTCCACATATTCTATGATTGTCTGTTGCTATCTCGTTGATGTGCCGATTAAGTTTTTTCTTGCATAAAAGCGCAGTTCCCCCACTTGAAAGTGCTCTATTGGTATGATGATTTGGCTCTGGAGCTGGGTTTGCTATGCAAAATAATTAGCGTTAAGACAGTTCATAATGCATAGATTGTACTCCCTCAGTTGATGGTCAGAAATTGCACATATGTCTATGTCGTCGCTCTGAAGACATTCATTTAAATAAGGTACACTACTCATAATCCCTCTGGAGTTCCAGCACATGAGGTTTAGGAGAGAGCCGTCCATCATGTTGAGTTATTTGGTTTGCCGTGTGTTTGCACTGGTATCCTGTGCACTCTGACGCTCTCTGATAGTCCTCCAAAATTGCTCCCGGGACAGCCAGGCTTTGACGATTGTGTTTTCCGGCCAAAAATTCCGGTTTTCTAATATTTCCCTGTCCTTTGAAGATAACATTTACTTCAGCAGATGCTGTTCTTTTTCTTGGTGATTAAAGAAGCGAATGTATGTCACTGTGACTCCATTCTTTTCAAGGTAGTTCCTAATAGACTCTTGAGTGTTATCTTTGTGTATGCCACCGATATAGAACCTGGCAGTTCGTATTCTGGGTGGAGCAGCACGAAAGTCAGCCTGATGCATGTCTCTGGTTGCAGCACAGTAGTCCTTACTCACATGAGTCTCGATACGTTTGGGCTCCGAGGGGTCTTGTGTATTAACACTGCAAGCTGGTGGGTTTTCTGGAATCTGCGTAGTCACGTTGAGATCTTTCTGCACACATTGACTAAATGATACCTCTCTTATTTGGGCTGGTATCTTTGCTTGAGAATTACAATTTTTGTCCGCCTCGTTTAGGCTATGTGTTGGTTTACTGGTAGTTGAAGGTAGTTGGCTGTGACGTACTGTACACTGTGGAGCTATGTTGTCCAAGTAACCCTGGGAGTTATCTTTATGTGTAAGAGTGTCAGTTGGCATATCCGTGGCAGTGTTGTCACATGGGCTGTCTTGAAGATGGTCAGCAGATTTATTCTGTTCCGCTACTAAGGGTTTAGTTGGTAGGTACTCTCATTTGTGTTTGTTTCAATTGTTTTTCAACATTTGCAAGTTTCTTCTTAAGGTCTTCCGTTACTCTGGATGAGATCCTGTACGATTTATTTATTTCCGTGATGTCAGCATCCAATGAATCCAGTGATTTGGTGACAAGTGTCACTTTGGATTTTAAGTTGGTAATTCCTAAGCTCCTTTCGTCTGATATCCGCACTAATTCCATTTTTCTTTCTTCTGTTTCAGTTTTCAGCGTGCTTAGGTCTTTTTTCATATCATTGATACGTTTGTCTCTCTTGTTGTTTGCGTTTTCAGATTTGTTTCTTTCTTTCTCGAGTGTCCTTAAATCATTGAATACTTGCGCATGCGCATCTGAAACCTTCTTCAAGTCTGTTCTCAAACTGTCTACCTCACGCCGCAGGTTTTCCATGGTAGATTTACACTCTGTCAGTTCAGCAACTCTGTCCTTGTTTTCATTACGTAAAACTTCCACAGCTTTGACCATAAGAAAGTAAGAAAGTTTATGGATAACAACTTCTTTATTATATATGATGCGACGTTTCGGTATGGATTCTTATACCGTTGTCAAGCAAGAGTGAAGTACTACAGCACAGAACAGACTTATATACATGAACAGGGATTAAGTAATAACAACATGTAGGACTGCATGAGGGGGGATTAACAATAACAACAAGGCACGGTGGCAATAATGTAGTGACAATAGGAAGCCAATGGTGGTGGAGGTAAAACAAAATATACATGCTGATGAGATTAATTAACAATGATGGCTGAGGTGCTCTAATCTGTTGTTTTATGAGATCATTGTATGCAGAAGGGATGAGATATCCTGGTCTCTGTTGATTGAGGGTTTGTGTCTCCGGATTTGAACTGCTTCTGCAAGTTTCCTTTTAATTGTGAAGTCCTGGTGGTTTTGGATAATATCTCCACATTGTCCCAAATTATCTTGTGATTGGGGCAGTTGATGATGTGGTCTGATATTGCTGATTTTCTATCAGATTTAGTGGTAGATGATAAGTGTTCTTTGATTCTAATATTTATGGGCCGGGAGGTTTCGCCTACATAGGCCTCGCCACAGTCACAGTTGATTTTATAGACAACACCTTAGCTTTGGGTTGATGTTGTCGTTTAGAGGTGTTCCTGCCATTCGCGCTTTCAGTAGGGTTTTAGTGGTGTAGAGAGCTGGTAAAGTAGGTTTCGATGCCTGCTTCTCGCTTGAGGAGACAGGCTGATGTGGTGAGAGGTTTTCCCTATGAAGGGAGGGAGATACGAATAGGTGCTGGTTCAGGTTTGTTGGAGGCCGGTTTTCTTGTTGGGTGGAGTGTGGTGCTGATAATTTTATCGACTAGTTTCGACGGGTAGTGGTTGAACTTGGTGAAAACATGGCGGAGGTGCTGTATTTCTGTAGTGGGACTGGTGGAGGAAAGGTTGATGGCTCGTCTGGTGAGGGTGGAGATAATGCCAGTTTTGGTTCTCAAAGGGTGGTTGGAGTCAAAATGAATGTATTGGTCGGAGTGGGTTGGCTTTCTATAGACACTGGTACGGATCTTGTTGGCTGGTGTTCTGGTTACAAGGACATCTAGAAAGGGAAGTTGACCACTGGATTCTGTTTCTAAGGTGAAGGACCCGGGGGGTGCTGTTGGTTGAGGTGTTGCAGAATCCATACCGAAACGTCGCATCATATATAATAAAGAAGTTGTTATCCATAAACTTTCTTACTTTCTTATTAGTCACCAACTTCTAAATGCCAATCAAACAGATCAGCTTTGACCATGTTGCCTTTCAACTTATCAACATACACCCTCAGTGAGTCAATTTCACTCTTTGTATTGTCATTTACTGTTTTCAGGGCTTGATTGTCTCTCTGTAGATGTGTTATTTTAGAACCCAAGCAGATAAACACATACGAAACTATCAACATCACATAAATGATTTATTCCGGAAGAATAAGAAGAGCTCGCCTAGAGAATATTGGAAAATGCTCAACAAAGCGCACGGTAAA